CGTGCACTTACGGGCAGCTGTTCCGTAGTGGCTTGGAGCTCTTACACAGCTGCGTCAGATATCTTCTCTCAAACGCTTCTTTTGTGGGCGCTCACCCGCATAGCACCTGTGAATGCAGCAACTAGTCGTAGGAGTTCGCATAGCAAGGCTGGCTGAGCGGCGTGGTGCCTGCAGCACCTTGGCAAAATTTGGGTCACAAGCTTTCAGACTGATCGGGCACTGCCTGGAAGTGGTGGAGGCTTGCAGTATTTTACCATTATACTTTTTATGCTTTATATTAACCCCACTAAGAACCTTTGTTACACGGCAACCGCCCTGCAAGCCTCCCAACCACATATTCGGCCCTGAGCCCTAAGCCAACAACTGCATGTTACACAGAGCCCGACAGAAGTTGCTCTCGAGGTCTATTCCCCCGTTGATGCCTTCGCAGAAGCGTCCTATTGGCGCAGGACGGCCTTGCTCTTGGGAGAGTCAATTCTGGGCACGAGTTCCCTGCGCTCTTCTTATTACCGCAGTTTTTGGGATGCTTTCCTTCTTGTGTGGCGTTGAAGATCTTTGACATGAACCCAGTTTTTGCATGGTTGCATACGAGCAGAGTTATATTGAAGCATCGGTTCAGGGCTTTCCATGCTGCATGCAAGTTGGGTCACAAGGCTGCAGGTCGACATCTTGAGGCTTCTTCAAAAATTGTGCCGATGATAGCCGAGCAGATTAGCTCCAGTCTCAGTTTCAAGCCACGGAGCCTGGGGCCTTGTTGCCAGAATTGAAGAAGGTCAAGCTTTAAAGTCAAACCGAACCTCGGCCTACAGCTGCCGGCTTTCGTGCAGGGTCCCACGACGTAGAGTACCCGAAGTACTAAGCTAGGTGAATTACAGTTCCAGCAGGTTAAACCAGGAGAAGGGTTCATCAGTCGCTTGTGGTATGAGGTTTCGGGCTAGTTAAAGGGTATAAGGGCTCTCGTAGATTCACTCCAGCTGGAGGACCTCGCCACGTCCCGGTTGCCCGGCCCCGCTCGACGTGGAGCTCCGCGCAGGTGAGGATGCCTCAGGACTTGCAAAATTGGGATGAAAGGAGGGGGAGTGGGGGGCAAAGAATAGGAGTTTGTAAGAAAAGGATTCTGGATGTCGTGTGTATCCCAGGATCCCTAACTTTTTTTTTAGTCCCTCGATCCTGAAGCCTAAACCCTGAACCCTAAAGTCCTGCGCCAAAACTGCAGATTGTTCTGCAGGCGAAGGCCTTTATCTGCCCGCCGGCTGGTGGCACGCTGTGGTCGGCTCTCAGGCAAAGGGGCGGTCTACGATTCAGGGGTTTGGGGTTGAGGGTTTCAGGGTTTAGTGGAGTCCGGGAACTATCATGTTGTCCTTTGAGGGGTGTCGGGAGGGCAGTATAGTCCCTGCATATGGGTATTGGCAGGGGTTATATTATTCGGAATTTTGGTGAGTGCATACAGGTCTCCTTCCTTGCCTTGGGGATACTGGCGACTGTGTATTTGGTGTTATTCAAGGGATACTAGCCATGCAACCTTATTTCACATCGTATACCCGGCGAGGTGCCTCCATCTTTATATGTTTCGGTTTCGGGGGTGCCAATGCTCAAGCCTGCGTTTATGCCAGTCCAAGAAACTAGGAAATGCAAGAAACTAGGAAATGCACCGTTCTGTAACTCCGAGAGCAGACAAGCTGCACAAAGACATGACACAGACAAGCAGCAAAGCAAGCCTTCTGTGCGAAACTGCGAATATGTTGGATAATGGAAGGAGGGGGGGGGCAGGACGGTGAAAAAATCAGCAGCTGAAGCGCTCCAAGTCCAGACAGCATAGAGTTTGATTTAGGCCGATTCGGTTCAAGAGGGCCTTCTAATCAGCTGCATTTCCCCATGAGTACATGAAGCGTCCGGAACGGTTGAAAGCATGTTACTGCTGATGAACTATATCTGCACTAGTTCACGTACCCTGAATTGCTAGACATGGGGCGCTTGCCTGAGACAGTGGAAAATGCAGGCTTCCGTCCGTCAATACTTCCCCCCAGTGGGAGTTCTCCTGTGAAACCGCCAGAAATCCTCAAGGATGGCATGGGGCTTCCTCATTATAAGTATAGTAACTATAGTATAATGGGCTCCAAAACCCAATTCTAATTATTAAGGCCCCTATGTTAAATGTTTACCAAAACGGCTGACCATCACCCTAAGCCTGAAGACCCGATCCTGCGGCCTTACACCCTCGGGCCATAATCTCCACACGAAGACCGTCAAAAGTCTTCGAAAGATCTACATCCTAAACGCTAGACCCCGAACCCGAAACCCTAAACTTGCCCATGAAGCCCTAAACCTCTTAGGCCCCGGGCTGTGCTTGAAGCACCCGGGGACATTGTAAGTACGCGTATGCCCAGCTAAGATACCTGCAGCCTTGCACGGTAAGTCCCCCGATCCTCTAAGTAAACCTAAAAGTCCGGAACCCTCAGCCCTAGACCCTATATAGGCGCCAAAAGATTAGAATCGGGTTTTGGGGTCCATTATACTACAATTATAGTAAGGTGCCCCCAAAATAATATCAGTAAGTACTTAAGCCCCTATGTTTAATCCTTGAGGCCCAGAGCCTCTGAATCCCCGGACCTTAAGGCGCAAAGATCTGAAGCCCCGTGTCACAGGAGCCCAATCTGGCCATCGTCTTCGGATATGCCTCCGGGCTGCTACTTGTAAAGGGGGGGGGGGGCCGTCGATTTGGGGGTTTTAGTGTTTGGAGTTGAGGGTTCGAGGTATCAATAGCGAACCGCAGGAGTTGCTTTTGTTTTGCTTATGTGCTCTCACCCGCTCGGTCTTGCCGTCTTTGCACTTTGGTGGGGTCGGATGTTGAGTTTCTCGGGAACAGGCTTGCGGGTTTACGGTTTGAGGATATGTGTGCAGGGTTGCGGTCTTCCAGCGTTCATTAGGTTGTGAGAAGAAAAACCACGATTAACTAAGATGTGTTGGGGTCAAGGGTGGTTACCTTATACTTAACAACCTTAACCCCGAAAACTATCATCTAAAGTTTCAGGGGGCTGTAGGCTCGCGGGAGACCGGGGCCTGCAATACTGAATATCTCCACAAAGCTCCTACAAACCCTGGCGACGAGCTTCAAGCCCACCCCTGGTTGATGAATCCTCTTTCGTTAATAGAAGGGCAGTAAAGGAACAAGGGCCGTAAAGGGACGGTGTTTATTTATTTCAAACGGAAGAAGCTTTCCAGATCGCACTATCGCAGCTGTATCCGGAGATTGCAAGCCCTGGGTCCGAACCCGCGGGTACTTTTAGATATTCGATAGCGGGTACTTTTGGCTGGTGGTTGCCTCCATATTATACTTAAAGGGTCAAGGGTCTTAGACAGTGGTGTCATCAATAACTGTTAAGTGTTTATACTTGTTTGTAGCCCTACTACATGTACTTATGATCCTAGTTACTAAGTCCCTTGATCCCCTGAACCCTCCGCCCTAAACTTCCAAACCTATATTCTCCTACCTACGGTCCTACAGTAGATTTCCGAACTGCTGCAATATGTAAGTCATAGTCTGTACTTCACATGTGTATTGCAGTAACTTGAACGAAGGCCTTAAGAAAGAACCCCATAAAGCACTTATGAAATTTTCACGAGAGTGAAAAAGCACAGCTCAAAGCATTTTACGAGAACACTTTCCCTCTGAAAGCCTTAACCAGCCCGTCTCCTTCCTCCCTAACAGGGAGCTAGAAATTCACGACCGAACAACAATCACAAACACTCAAAGACGTCTCCTAGGCGCCATCGGAGCAAAAAGGCGCACGCTACTACCGGAGTTGGCTTCACGGCATCTTTGGTGCCAGCGACGAAGAAAAGGGCTACGGAACGTGTCAAGTTTGTGGTTTCGGGTTTTCGGTCGGGGAGATAGGCAGTTGCTTGGGGGGGGGGGGGGGGGTAAAACTCTTCTTCCCAAAGCGATCAACACTGGCAGCTGAAACTGCGGAAGTTTCTGAGGTAGAAACTGAGTGATCCCAGAACCAATTCCCCCAATAGATCCTGCTTTAAAGCTTCGACGTCACCTTTGAAGGTCAAACTCACTGCAACAGCAAACAATGAATCAAGATCGTGGCATAAGGCTTAACTTAGAGAGTGAACGCGGGAACTTTAAACTTTTTGGCCTTGCAATATTGATTCTAGCTTAGAAAGTTTGAACTTTTTTGTGGCCGGTTGTTGAAGAAGAGAGTTAAGGGATGAGGGTGCATCGTTCAAGGAGCAGGGCCTCGAAGAGCGGACTAAATCCGAAGCAATGGCATAGTCAGGGCTATAAGCCGTGCCCCCAAGAATCCTAAAGAGAATCACCAACGCATATCAACACCGCAGGGCTATTATAGGTGGTGCTTGTGCGGGTAACGAGGGTTTAGTTTAGGCAGAGGTTTGCGCTTGAAGATTAGGCTGTAGGGAATAGGGTTCGGGCTTCAGGTTTTAGGATTCAGGCATCAGGTCTCAGGCTACAGGATGGTGGGTGCGGGGTTTTCCGGCTTTGGGGTTACGCATTCAGAATTTGAAGCCTTTCGGAGTTTGCGCTCTACTAGAGGGGCCTAAATACCAATACTATTTTGGAGCTTTCTTAATATATCTATAGTATAACGGCCTCTATTAGACTCCCTTACTGCGTGAAGTTGTTCCGTGGTTTCCGCACCCTCCGGTCTTGGAGTTCCTCGGCCTCTGGATTGGCGTGATGTTGGCCTTCTTTCGGTGGGGCGCACAACTTTCACGACTCTAGGCTCTGCCCTCCGTCTCTCGAGTCATCTTCCGGCTCCCCCCTGAGATCTTGAGCTCGACATGCTGGGGAGGGATACCTTCCGCCACGACGCGACGTAAGATGAACGGGCCCTCTAAACCCAGCCCCTAAACTGGGACTTACCTGCGGAAGAGCTGGAGCGCGGGGCTTTCCGCTTCGTGTTGACGATTTCAAGTTCAATGTGCTTCCGTGATCCTTTCGGCAGGCAGGAGCGCGTAGAGTCCATGCAGCCATGCTCGGCAGCTTTTGGCATCCGGGTCCACCCCTTGTCTACGTGCAGACTTCGCACCCTGTTTTGAGTCATCAGCGGGAGCCAGGCGGCAAACATGTGCCGTCACGACTTGCTACAGTCGGGGCCTGCGGCGGCTTTTTGGCTAGGTTGTTGCTGAGACGCAGCAGGAGCGAGATGATATGCAGGTCAGCCAGGGGTGAAAAAAAAGGTTTGGACAAAGTGAGCACCAGACAGCAGAGCATGCTCGATCGACTGCAGGATCACGCAGCGGCCCTGGGTGGCAAGTGCATGGCGATCGGGTACAAGAACTGTATGACGAAAGTCCCGTGGCATTGCCAACATGGCCACACCTGGGATGCAACTCCAGTCAGCGTGCTGAATGCAAAGACCTGGTGTCCCGAGTGTGCCAGAAACAGGCGGCGGATCCCGTTGCAACGACTCCAAGATCACGCGAAAACACGAGGTGGACGGTGTTTGTCAACGAGCAAGTACAACAGGTCCAAAGGCAAGGTCACATGGCAGTGCAAGCTGGGACACAACTGGAAGGCCACCCCGAACATGGTGCTTCACAGACGGACCTGGTGCCCTGCTTGCTCCCGCAAAGGGCGAACTTGGAAAAAGCGCAGCTTGAAGGACTTGCAGGGGCATGCTGCTTCCCTCGGTGGCCGTTGCCTCGCAACTACTTATGAGGGTATGCTGGCTCCGGTGTTGTGGCAGTGCCGCAGAGGTCACACTTGGCAGGCGCGCCCCCACAATGTCCTCAACATGAAGGGTTGGTGTCCAGCTTGTGCAAGGAATGCTCCGTTGGACCTACGTCGACTGCAGGAGCATGCCAAGAGTCGGGGTGGCGAATGCTTGGCCAGGAAATATGTCAATAGCTATTCGAAGGTGACCTGGAAGTGCGAGCACGGCCATACTTGGCAGGCAAGACCCAACCATGTTTTAAATTCGGGGGTGTGGTGTCCCCACTGCAGGAAGATTGGATTGGCGCGTCTGCAGGCCCATGCTACATCGCTAGGCGGAAGGTGTCTAGCCAAATCGTACAAGAGTTACAAGATGAAGCTGTTGTGGGAATGCCAGGAGGGACACACATGGAATGCCACTGCCCAGAGCGTGTTGCATCAGAAGACGTGGTGCCCACAGTGTGCGGCCAGCAACTGGCGAACAGAAGCGGAGGTCCGCAGGATCCTCGAGACCATTTTCCATCCGGCTATGTTTCCCTCCTGTTACCCGTCTTTCCTGGAAGGCTTGCAGTTGGATGGATACTGCCCTGATTTGTTCTTGGCTTTCGAGTACCAGGGAGAGCAGCACTACGATCCCGAGAACTATTTTCATTTCGGTGATCCTTCCAACTTCCGTGCCCAGAGGGAAAGGGATGCTAGGAAGGTCGAGCTTTGCAGGGATGCCGGGGTGCGGCTCTTGATCATCCCATGCTTCGTGAACGACAAGAGGACCTTTGTGCTGACGATGTTGCTGCGGTGGTTTGCTTGGGGTCGACTTGCGACGCTGGAGCTGCCAAGCAGATGATGTTCCATCACCCGGTGTTGTGGGATTGCTTTTGACAGCACGTCCCCTGACAATTTGTTGCATGCCTTGCTTGAGTTCCACGTAATAAATCACTCGTAGCTGCCATGCTTTGGCAGGAAGTTCAACTCATGTCAGTCCTGCGACAGGGATATCACACGAGTCCAAGATTCAGTGGCGTCGCTGGGTTTGCAGGCTGCAGTCAGGCTAAACTTTGTTCGCTTGTTCGAGAGCTTTGCGGCTTCAGTTCGCAGTCGTAACTGCTGACAACACCGAACCCGATGCGACTCACTCAGCAGCTTTGCATCAAACATCGAGCCTTACGAAAGCTCTACGATGCATTACTCACTCCTTCAACACCGAGCGCCAGGCAGGTGTTGAAAGCGTGCAAGTTCCCAACATCCGGGATGCCACATGATTCGACTTACATGCACACCCTCACAACGTCTGTAGTAGCGAGAGCCATGGCAGCATGACCTCACAACGTGCCGCGCGGCACTTGGATTTACGCATGGCGCGCAAGATATTCAACTCTGAACCGTCGGCCCCAGTGTCCTCGGCCCCCTGCCCGAAGGCACTCTTGCTACTAATGACTGTGACTACTGCCACTAACCTACGACCAGTGTCATAGGGATGATTGAGAGTATACTGCTTGTGATCCATGCTACGATGCATACTTGTTGTCATTGCGCTTGTCCTCAGATTTAATCCTGGCTCGGATGTGTTGGGGTCTTGGCTGAGGCTGCTGAAGACAAGGTGGCAACAGCAGCGAAAAGAGAAGCAATTCAACAACAAAACATGCAGAAACCGCATGTGCTCTTAAAATCGTCCAACTCGCGCAACTAGATACCGACCCTAAACAGCACACGCTAGGAGGCCGCGCGGCCAACCCTCTTGGAGTCGAGGGAGCACCCGGGAATGCTGGGGTGCTGTGGGGGGTTTAGGGTCAAGAGTCAAGGGGTTAGAGTTGAGGGTTTAGGGTTCCGAGCTTACTGCCGAGGATTCAGAGCTTAGGGCTTAGGGTCCCGAGTTAATGGTTGAAGTGTCGGGATTTCCAATTTAAGGTTTAGCGCGAAGGTCTGTAGACTTCTTGATTTACGCGTCAGAGTTGCGGACTGATTTTTTGGGTTGGGCTGTGGGATGTAGCCAGCCATTCAGTCCTACGCCTGTGATTCGGGTCATAAAGCTTAAGTGACAAATTTCTTGATCTTTTGGTTACAACACAGCAGCCCTGCACCCTTATCCGAACGCATGGCCCCAAGCCCTGAACTTGCACGACCCTGCCAGACCCGTGTAGAACACAAGCGAAGTGCCCTTGTACATACCTTTACAGACCTTTTATTTGACTCTCCAACCCGTCAAACCCTCCGCAAGCAGGAAAAGGGCCGCTCAAGCATGACGAGCTCCAATGCGCCGTGCCCTCAGCCAGATGGAACAGATTGCTTTCCTATTTGGAACCGTGGTGAGCGTAGGAAGAGCTCGACTTCATAACAACATGTCTAGGATTTAGGTAAATTTATGGCCTATAGGGTGGCTGGTACAGGGATCAGTTTTGAGCACTTATGTCAGTTTCAAGAAGTACGCCGATTTTCACTTAGCAAGCATATGTTTTGTCGCAGGGTCGTCTGGAGGTCTACGCTACAGGGCCTTGTCTTTTGTCCTGAAAAGGACATCCTTGAAAATGCTTACGTCTGTGAACCTGTATGACGGGCCATGGAAGAAACCTGCAGAAGCCGAGGCCTCAACCCTATTCTACATCCTACCCTCCAAACCGCTGAACTCTACACCCCAAAATCCGACTTCCTAAACCCTAAGCCCAGGTCGAAATCCACGGTTTCCACGACCTCGACCCGGAGAAGCCAGGCGTCAGAACCCCTAACCCTAAACCCTAACCCCTACCTGTTGCCCAAAAAACACTTACCTCATATAAAGAAAATCATAACAAAGGAACCGTAAAAGCAAAGGTGGGTAGGTTTTGGTCGGCTACAGTTCGACCCTGAATTCAAAACCCTAAACTTTTGGGCATTACTGCAATCGGCCTCACGAGCCTCCTGCGATTCGAATTGGACCAATCTTCGCTGGTATCAGCGTGCAAGCCGAAGGATGGAAATGGAAAAGGAGGAAACGCGCTGTTATTGGGACATCAATTGCCGGGGGTTATGCCATCCCAGCATGGAACTATGGAAGCAAGAGGCTTCATCTTGACGGTACGGTCTAAACAGGAAATATCCCTGGAAACCTTCAGAATCCAAGCCAAAAGCTTATCATGATGACGAAACTGCCTCGAACACGAGAGGCCGGACTGATTTCCGAACCCAAATGACTTCATGTGCCTAATGCCGACTATGTGATCAGCATTGACATGATGCTTGTCGATGATTTGAAGAAACACATCCTTGAACCTACGGACAAGGATTCCTACAGACATTTCCTGATCACACAGTCCTGGAAACAGGCCAAAGGACGCTACAAACTCAACTGCAAGAGCAACCCAGCAGGTCCTATCTTGCGTATGCTTAGTCCCCCACTTCCAACGACCATCACATATGAAACTACAGAATGCTTGACATGCTGCTGAAGATATAGGAGCCTTCCTAATCTTAATGACACCGCAGTCGACGGGTTGAACAGGAGGACTGAGAATGCCGTTGAAAAACACAACTCTTCGGAATACCGGATGGAGAGACCAAAGTCTCTCGGAGATTGAGACGTCGAAGCGACTCCTATTACAAACACTATCGACAAGAGCCTCTTCCAAACCCCCAACTTGCATAATACAACACCCAGTACATACAGGTTTCAACTTGCCTATCACCCGAGTTGAAGGGCGACACAAACAATTGCAAGACATCACGGTATCCCGAAAAGGCGCAGGCACAGTGCAGTCTGGAGCCATATCTATTTCGGACTCGGCTCTCCTTGAAACCAGTGTTGACGCAGCGTGAGTTTGAATGTCAACAGCTCTCTGGATAAAAGGCTTGAGCTCTTGCAAGTTCTTGACGAAAGCATCATGCGCTTTCCGTTTGGCACACCGATCGGCAAGCTCATTGCCCCGCGTCAAGTATGCAGGTTGTCCTGTGTGACCTCGTGGAACATGGGCCTTCACTTTGACGAAGGAAATATTGCAGTTCGGTCTTTTGTGGACCTCTTCAAGAAAAGCTGTCCACAAATCGTGGTTATCAAACTTGACAATATCCTCAAACCGATAGCCATGTTGCTTCAGAGATGTCGCCCTGTCGACAACCCCTGCGCAATCGCTGACCAATGTAACCGAACCATGGGTAAGCTTAAGGGCCAAAACAGCGGCATACAATTCAGCACGCTGGGATGTGAGATCCCTGCCTGGCAAGAGCACCGACATTTCAAACTTACCAGGAACGACGACAGCACATGCCGCGGAGCGTAACGCTTGCCACTTTTCATGAAAAGCAGAATCGTCCAGAAAGACTGGCTCGTCAACTGAGAAGGTCTCGGAGATCTCGGGGAACTCAAGCAAGTGGTCACGTGACCTTTCCGAAGCAAATGCATCTCTCGGGGAGAAGAAAATGCCGGCTGTCCAAGAGACGGCATTCTCTTCACCCCTGATTGGCCTGGTAGCTGCGTATAGTGGACACTCCATAAACAAATGTTGATGAGTCTCCGCGTGCTGTTTGCAACAACACTCATCCGATTGAGTCATACGCAGCTTTGAGTCGCGGTCCGGTATAGATGCCGCCTGTGATAAACGACTCAAGAATAGCACGAGTGTGGGCATGATTGGAGGGCAACCGCTGCAAAAAGGGCTTCAAGAACTGGAAGTCCTCATCAGACCGGAAGTCTGACTCAATCAAAAACCTGGTCAAGAAAATGTCCATGTCCGGAATGTTAGCCGGAAGCTGGCAGTCATGCCGAATCGAAGCTTTGCGTAGCAAGTAAGTTCGAACCGCAACGCCTAACTCCTCTCTGAAGAATTGTGTGCTACCCGCTGCTAAGCAGATTTCTCCGCGCTGCGGGGTTTTAATGACGAAGTTGTCGACATCAACAAAGGACCATTGCAACTCCTGACAGAGAAAAGCAAAGACTGCTGCAACGCCATTGCTGGTATGTTGCACCTTACCGACGAGCCTTTGAGCGTCTTGCAAAACTCTGACTGCTAAAGCTGGGTTGCTACGGGTCATTTTGCGAAGCTTCGAAAACACATGTAACACCCATTTGCCAAAAGGGTCAAGAAAAGGATCAGCTCGCGTAGCCATACTCAAAAACGGACACCGAACATGGTTCTTTTTAAACAAACAAGCCACAACGGCTGAGCGGATGCTATGAAGGACGCGCGCAGAAGGGGCTTGTATTTCAGAGCCATACACCCACTTGGAATGAGCATTGGAGTGAATGTGGATTTCTTTCTGTTGTTGCGACAAAGGTAAGACAGCGATCTTCTGCAACATCTGACGAGCCTTAGCGGCCCGACTATTCTGAATAGCAACGCTGCCTTTGAGTTTGCACGACTGTGTAAAGCCTAGAGATTTAACAGTTTTCTTACGACTAAAGTTTTGACGACCAACTTCACGAAGAAACCTGTCAGCTTTTGCCTTGCGTTTTGTCATTAGCGTTGTCTTCTCCGGATTGAGAACTTGCCCGATGCTTTGGTCAAACTGCTCAACACAGCATAAAGCATTAGCCAGTTCAGCATGGTTGTTTTCTGGGGTCCAAAATTTGGCATCATCAATAAACGATCTCAGTGAAATAGTAGGGCATAAAGTGCTCAAGACGGTTGCAAAAACTGCGTATGCTGAATTAACCATGACAATGGACAAGCTACAGCCTTGCACAGCCGAGTTACTGGAAAGAACCCTCCTACCGAAAGCACAGCCTAATTTGAAGAACTTGGTTTGGTTCGCATAAAAGCCCAAGGCAGCCCTATGAATGTGGTCTGGCAACCCAAGACGTCTGGCAATACCCAAAGAAACCTGCGGTATGACCATATCGAAACATTTGAACCGATCCAAAAACAGTGCCATGGTGTC